GGGGCCTGTGGGCGGCCGCGGGCAAGAGGACGGTGCAGCGGCGGCCCTAGGCCCGAGAAGGGAGCAGCGCTGCGGATCCCGACCCTCGTAGCTGGCCGCTCCTCCAAGCTCCCGAACGGGGTCTTGAAGGAGAAAGAGGGCTGGGGAAAGCTGCTGTGCCACCTGCCCGGCGAAGCGGGGTGGCTGCAGAGATGGGGGGTTTGCTGTCGGTTGGGGCCTGTAATGGCAGCTGGCTGCACTTGCTTCCTCAGTCACCCCCAGAAACACCCCACGTCCTGCATATAAGCCGGAGAACATAACAGCCCTGGGTGTACAACAGGGAGAGCAATGCACATCAGTGACACCTGAGCACCGCAGCAGGGAACCGTGCTGGTGTGGGGGGGCATACCGGGACACGGCTGAGATCAGCCCCTAAACAACAGTTTGACCTGCGCAGGGATTAGCATTCATTCTACGGAGATCTGCAAAACCAAAAATGCTAGTTCACACGTTTTCCTTCTGTATTGCAGTTTCTAGGTCAGTTGAACTTTTAGTAAGAAAACCAGAGGAAGAGTATTCCTCAGCCACAGTACTGTGTGGTACTGGTGCAAGCCTCCCTTAGTCCTCTGGTTAACACTGCTCTGGGTGCTGTAGACTTACCGTGTAGTGGGAAGAATATATACACCATAACATACAGTCTTGTCATGTCACAAATCTGCTTAACTCCTTCAGAAGCTACTTGTCTCGTGCCTGTTTAAATAACAGCTGGAATTGGTCCTTTCTGTGGGTCAGAGTGGAATTAAGAGTTGTGGGATTAGTTACAAAGCCTAGTTACACATCTCAGCTGGTGTTCTGAATGGATTTAAGTCTTTAAAAACTAGGAGAGGAAGGGGAAAATGTATAAAGCATAGCTTGACGTACCATTTATCCGTTGGTAAATTAATTGCTGAAGCACCTGTATCATTATCCATGTGGTACAAACACTATGACAGTCTCAACACAAGATTCACTATTTCTCTATTTAGAGATTTGGATTATGATTTTCCTCATAGCACAGAGCTACCGAGTTTAGTTTATTGGAAAAAGCTAAGAAAAACCTCACTTTTAAGCAACAAGCTAGCAGAAGAGTTTGAATTTTGTTTACCATAAACTTTAAAGCATTGGGTAGTACACTGAAACATCATCTGAGATCAGGAAAGCTTCATTGCTTTTGTTACTGTAAGCATTGGTCAGCAATCACTCTAACAACCTCATTTAAATTTTGCTGGAGAAAGCCACCAATTTTTCTCCTACAGGCTGCAAAAATTTTCCTGTTTGAGCACTATGGAAGAGATGAGACTACTGTTACAAAAGCAAAGCTATAATCACTAGCTGATTTTCACCTGCACATGCTGCATTTCTTGGTGACATTTAGAAGGCAGCAGAATGTTGGGCCACTGAATTTAGCTATTTCCATCGTTGCCAGGTTTTTATTTACCATTAGGACTTTAATTTTGTTGGTCCTAATTACTTCCTGCCTTGCATGCAGTACGTCCTGTGAGATGCACGGTAAACTTGCCAAAGAGGTGGCATGTTACCCCTTTCAGCAAGGGGCAAGTAGCACATCCAGACTTAAACTCAGCTACACCTCAAGCCTGTAGCACTGAGATACAGACTGCCTGACTGCCTTGTGCTCCCATTCTGGCAGCATGGATGCAAAGTTTGAAGTGTCTTCCTCTAGAGGTAAGGGTGGTTTACCCCTGCAGCCCAAGGTACTTTTTATGCAGAACTAAAATTCAGGGTTTTTCCGCAGCTTAGAGGTTTAAAAAGCAAACCAAATACCTTAATCAGATCCTGATAACTCAGGAGTGGTTGAAGAGGCATTTTTCTTTCTGAAGGGGGAAAAAAAATATTAAAAGCTTGTTTTAACCAAGATAAGCTGGCTTTGACAGCTTCCTATTTTCAGGCTGAAATATCTGTTTGATTAAAGTGCCAAGAGGTATCAGGCACCAGCAGGTACTGCTTTGTCCTAAGGAAAATCAGTTAGTCAAGTTATTCAGTCTGACTTCATGAATTCACTTTTGCAGGTCAGATGCAGAGACAGCACAGGTAGGGCAAGTGCTTAAGTTTCATTTCAGGGTGCAAGTTGGAAGTTGTATTGCCTTGATGTAATCGAGGCCTGAAGAGAAGAGGGTGATGAGGCTGCTCTGCTCAGACTTGCATGTTGGTAATACCACTAACTGGTGTGCTTGGAGAGCATCATTCTAAGTGTTCTTTACCCCAAAGCCAAGAATTATCTTGCACAATAGTTACTCAGTACATAGAGTCATCATCTAACCAGCTGTGAATTCCTAGCTTGTCCTTGGAAGCAGGTTAAGAATATCTACTTAAGTGTTCTGATGAAGCACTTCTTGGTCGTGCGTGTGGCACGCGTTGCTCAGCTGTGACAAACCTCCTTATAAAATCTTATAAGCAGCAGATTTAGGGGTTTATGAAGAGTTTTCAAACAAGATAAATGAGTGATACATGTACTAGCCTAGCCAGTTAAATACTTCCACTTATTTCTGCTTATCTTCAGTCATCCCCACGTCAGCTGGGCCTAAGCTCAGCTCGTGGAGCTTTTCCCAGAAGCAGTGCATTTGGGGTTAACCATGCCAAATCTAGACAAGGTGTTTTTGGCTCACTGCTTTATGCATTTAGCTTAATTATATCTGCCTTTAACTGAGGAGATCCTTGAAACCAGGAACTCTGTGGTAAAGCATACATAAACATAAGTTATATTGTTTGCTCTAAAGTGGGGCATTAGTCTTAACTTGTCATTTATTTTTTTTTTATTAACAGGTGGTTCATTAACCAAATTGGCCTATTATTCAACTGTGCAGCACAAAGTGGCAAGAGTGAGATCCTTTGATCATTCTGGAAAGGTGAGAACATTCATCAGTTGCATCCAATTGACTCCTAAGGGTGAAGCACCAGACTGGCTTCTCATAGCAGAAGTTTCATCTGAAACCCATCTAGTAACTTGTTCTGTATAAAATTTTATCTAGCACTTTCTTATAGTTTGACCTTCTGTAACATCTGTTACTCTGAGGTAAGTTGTCACAGCCAAAATGTTTATTTTAAAAAACATTCTAGTACGTACCGACACAGCCATCCCTAAGCATTTATACTGCAGCTCTGATGAGTGTGTGGCTCCTGTTAATAACCCTCTGCTATATTCCAGGGGAAATTAGCTGTTAGCACGGGTTCAGCAAGTAGTTTTTGCAAGCTTAGCATAGCTGAAGATCTAAATTCATGTGATGATACATCATACGTGCTCTCTTTACTGAGAGACTGCTTGCAGGGCTTGAGTTGTGCAGCCCATGCCCAGACAAACTCAGTTACATGCTTTGCCTCCTTGGAAGTGCTTGCCAGTTAGTGTTTAAAATAGCTGTTTTTCTAGACAGTGTGGTACTTGTGCAAGAAAACCAAACTCCCATGCAGACATAACTTTTTTCACAGAGATGTTTCATGCGTGTCTAATGCATGGGAAAATCGATTATATTCTCAGTTTGAGGAGAATTAAGATCTGTTGAAACTATATTCTTTGAAAGGAGCTTGGGATCTTATGTTTTTAATAGCATAAACTTAACGCAGTTTCAAGGCAAAGGAAGCACGGGTGTGGATGTTCGGTAGTTCAGCATTTAACCTTGTTTCTCAAGGAAGGATTTTGAATGATCTATAAGGAATTCTTTTCTCTTTTAAAGGACATAGAAAATGAACCTTTATATGAAATATCTGTTCAGGAGGAGATTACAGCTCGACTCCACTTCATTAAATTTGAGAACACTTATATTGAAACCTGCCTCGATTTCATCAAAGACCATCTTGTCAACACAGAGACAAAAGTCATCAAAGCTACAGGTGGTGGTGCCTATAAATTCAAAGATCTTATTGAGAAGAAATTGGGGTTGAAGTAAGTGGAACTGTTTAAACTTACAGGAGTATATTTTTCCTTTGATGAGATTTCAGAAGGCTAACTTGCTGCTTTGCCCATCTGCTCTCAAGAGCCACCCACACCACAGGAGAGAAGCAGTGAGGATGGGTGTGTGCATCGTGGCCAGACCAGGCTGAACCGACTCGTTAGTGAACCTCAGCTGCAAAAAGGAGCTGTCTCCTTAAGTGACATGGTAGCAGGGCAGGAGTAGAGCCAGGCAGGAACACAGGGCTCAGGACAAAGAGACAGTAAAAAGAGAAAAGCAGGGCTTTTTTCTTTAAAGGATCTAAGTTGCATCTACTCCATTTTTAAGTTAATCTCCATCATGATTATGATAATAGTTTTTACTTTTCACTGCCCAGCTAGCAGCATTGCAGTGATGGGACCCCGGCTATCAGGAGCAGGCTTTAGACACACTGTTGAACTCTGCTGGACTAGAGCTCCAAATACACAAAACCTACAGTAATGTATAAAATAAAGTAGTAAGTAGTTAGTAAATTCATTACTAACAAGAAGTTTAATTGGGGATCTTTGATCAGTTACTGTGGTGAGGTGTGTTTAAAGGTGTCAGTCTTCCTACTTCAAGTTTAAGGACAAAAGCCACAAGACAGATTTATTATTATAAGCCAAATTACTGCTGGCAAACACCTTTTTTTCCATGGCTATGCCTAACCTCTGCAGTTGCCTAGGTTCTCAAGTCAGAGTTCCAAAAGCTTCTACCATGTTTCTGTGCCTGTTCAGGAGTGTGTAATTAATATGATATATTAACTTGCTGTATGGCCCTTGCCTAAACTTCATGCAGAAGCATAGGCTTGCAGGAGACTAAAGGGCAGTCTCATGAACTTACAGCCTCATAAATTTACCATTTAAGCATCTTTATCAAACACCATATGCTAAAAAGCTGCTGTAAGTATAGATAAAAATATCATTCATCTACACCAATATAAAACATTACCTGATGTTACTGGGGAGGGCTTCAGGACATCTCTCACACAGCAGTCCTACATAGTTAGTCTTCAGTTCCTCAGGTACTGTGTTCATCTTTTATACTCCTTTTTCAAATTACTTTCTTCTTCTGATAGGTAGGATTCTGTTAACTTTTTTTCAAACCAGCCTACGTCAGTACCTGATTGGCTGTTACTAAGTAGCAATTAATCAAGGCAATGAGGCAATCCCCCCCCTTTTCTCATGTGCTGCACCTGGTTTTTGTTTCTAATTTCATTATGCGTTTTTTTTTATTTTATTATATTTTATTTTGTTTTTTATGTCATTATGACATGCTTAATTGGTCCACAGGCCCCCCAAGCAGCACCTTCTCCATCCTGACAAGCATAAAGCATTCTCTATTAATGGAGATGTATATTTGTGCTTTGTTTATGTGTTTTCAGCAAGGCTTAGGGTATTTCATGTGAGACATTTACCATAAATCAGCAACAATCCATAAGATACAGCATTTACAGGAGTCAGTAAGTGTTAGCTGACTCAGCTCCATCCTTCATCTTACCTAAATTACGTATCGTGTTCCCAGACTCCGTGCTCAGGATATGTTTTGTGAATCCTCTGATGGAGAAGTCTTTTTTTTTTTCCTGTGTTTGGTAATCCCTGTAGTAGCTCCTTGCAGTCACTTTAATCTGTCATAAACAAGTGCTGAATTGTTGAAGGGACTTTTTTACCTTTGTTGAGAAGGAAGGGGAAGAGCAATGGAAAATTATTCCATGATAGGAGATAGTTTTGTTAGCTTAATTTCCAGATGACCTTCCTGACCTGCTTTATTGCAGGGGTGCACATACCCATGTGCTGGCACCAGGGCACTACAGAGGCAGTGTAAACAAGCAAACAGGGGAGCAGGATTATTTTTAATGACAGCGTCGTTAATGCAAGATTAAAGTTACTGTGGAACTACAGCCTCATTTCAGACTGTGCGTTCTGGCATGGAGGATCAGCATCAGAACATACGGGGTTTCATGTTTTAAGAGATCTGGACTTCTGCCATGTGGTGTGGGTCACTATCTCCTGTTTGTAAAGTCTTTAAAAACTACTGTTCTAAAAGATAATTGCTTATCAGTAGAATTCATGTAAGGGTTTTTTTTTTCTTCCCCTTCTCCTCAGAGTAGATAAAGAAGATGTAATGACCTGCCTAATTAAAGGATGCAACTTTGTGCTAAGGAACATACCCCATGAAGTTTTTGCATACCAGAAAGATTCAGATACAGAATTCCGATTTCAGACAAACCACCCAAATATTTTCCCTTATTTACTGGTGAATATTGGCTCTGGGGTTTCTATAGTGAAGGTGAGTGGTTGCTAAAATGTTTTATTGCCAAATTTAATCAAGGTGATCTGAAACATCTTGCTGTTTCAGATTTGTAGTTGTTTACTCTTGGATAATACAAAGTTTAGACAGAAAATCACGATTACTTTTTAAAATTTTCATGTCTTGCATAGTTATGAATGCTTTTCCATTCACTACCATAGGGTTTTTTTTAATCACATTTAAATTGGTGTTTAGAGAAGTTGTTACATTAACTAATGAGGACAAAGGCTGTCAGATCAGAGTGATTTTTAATATTTGATTGCTTATTTTGGTGACCAAATTTTATGTCTATATTTAAGACTAAATATAGAATTAAATACTAAGATTTCAGAAACTTCTTGTGGTATAAATATGTGGAACATGCACCTCTGGAGAAGTTCCCACCTGATACTTACACTATTAAATAATTCCACCTACACTAATTCCACTGTTCAAAAACCCCTGCACGCTCTCATACCGAACTGTGTGTTTATAGTTATCACGGGACTTTCTAGACAAATCTGCCTTGTTTTATTGACAGGTAGAAACAGAAGACAAATTTGAATGGATTGGAGGGAGCTCAATTGGAGGTGGAACCTTCTGGGGTCTTGGAGCACTGCTCACAAAAACAAAGGTATCAAAGTGTCAGTTTTAAGGGGTATGGGATTAAATGAGATGCTAAGAAGGAGCTGGAAGCCTTGGAATGCCAAACTCTGAATGGGGAGAAATAATTATTTGAAGTAATGTTTGTATGGGAAACCAGAAGTCCAACATTAGTGTACTAGAAAATGAAAAAAATTATGTCTCTTGGGAGGGGTTTACCTTTTATTCAGAGAATTGCTGCCCTTGTGCAGACACAGAACAGGCAGTTTTGCAGTGCTCAGGACAATTTTAATACTCCCCGTTAGGTGCTTGTGGTCTTAGATAAGTCTGAATCCTTATGTTCATATTTTTGGTGCTTCTGATGCATAAAAGGAAACTTTAAATGCAAAAGGATACTAGTCAAATGTAGGGACAGAAATTATAAGATGCTAATCAGTGGCAAAATAGTAATCCTGCTTGGGACTGGAGGAGTTTGTCAGCAAGGACAAATAATGTCTATAATGCAGGGAACAGCTGCCTCAAAGTGGCCTGCTAATTTTCTGTACTTTTGTTCCGCGTGAAGTGCCTGCCTGGTTCCTGCAGTGCTCTCTGCAGAAGCCAAGCAGAGAGCACCCGATTACTGCAAAATGTCTGGGAACAGAGAGGAGAAATTCTAACTCTTTGTTTCACATTAGGGTTTCAGGGGTTCATCACTTAAATCCCAGGTTGGGGATATGCCAGAATAAGGCCTGATTTAGTACTGCTCTGCCTAACTCAGCTCTTCAATCATGCTGGTTTTTCCTGTCTCAGAGATCCATGTGACTTCAATGGGTGTCCCTAGATGTCAGTGGCATAGGAAAAGCTAGAGTTACATATACACCAAATAAGAAAATGCCAAAGGGAAGAGCCATGCTTGGAATATTTTGCTTGATGCTTTTAAGAAAGAAATCTTAGAACAGGATAGTGTCTGCTTTTAATTGTCTCTGATTTTGTAGAAGAAGAAACTGGGGTTAACAGACTTCTAAATTAAGTATTGGGGTAGTGTAGGTTGTGTGCAAGTTTAATTTCAGGGGCATTCATGCATTTCTGCAACAGTAAAGGCAGACTTAGTCTTTTGGGTTTTAACCATTTTTTCCTTAGGCTTCAAGAAGACATTTTTGCTCCTAGTTACTGCGTTTCTGACTTCATTCCAAGATAAGAAATGCATGAGGCATATTTTGTATGTGCTGATCCATCTCTAGTTTTCAGGGAAAATTCAACAAATTATTTGCAGATAATGGCAGATAACCGAAGAGGATAATTGTGCTTTTCATCATTAAAGGAGCTCCACTTAAGATCAGTCTGTCTGATAAGATAGGGGTCTGGACAAGTCCTTGTAATTAGAACTAACCTATTTCTTGCTGACAGGGTTGATTCTAAGAGAAGCCAAAACCCCTGGTTTTGGTCCGTAAAGATGCTGCAGAACTCTGGGTTTATGGGCAGGGTTCTCTGGCTGGCCAGGAAAGCTGGAGTAACTCTGCTTCTCCTCCTCAGAAATTTGATGAATTGCTGCAACTGGCTTCAAAGGGCCAGCACACAAATGTAGACATGCTGGTGAAGGATGTGTATGGAGGCGCCTACCAGACCCTGGGGCTGAGTGGAAATCTGATAGCCAGCAGCTTCGGGAAATCTACGACAGCAGATAAAGGTATTGGTGTATGAAAGATCTACCCAAGATTTGCTCAACAGTTAAAAGACTTTATATTGCCTGTCAGCTCGGATTTGCTGCTTGTGCTAGCTTCCTGTGAACACTTACATGGGTGGAAAACTAGCTGCCAGCTTCATCGGCACAAACACATCTTGCCTTACCCAGTGCCCTGTGCTCCGTGTGCTGGGCTGAGGCAGCTGCTCGAGCTGCTCCAGTTGCTTGGAGCTGTTGTTTGAAACTGAAGAGCAGTAGAAATGCAACCAGCTCCTCCGGCCCTCGGGCAGCGGGTGTTTGTAATGATCGAACAAGCGGAGCTGCGAAATAACCACCAGTCCTTTTCATGACATCGCCTGCACGTGTTTCAGTATTTGACCGAATAAAAGCGTTACACAGCACTGCTTTACAAGCAGGCATGCAGATTTTCAGTTTGGGACTGTGTAAGTCCAGGCAAACAACACAAATAGCTGTCGAGTTAGCCCAATGTTAATTCATTCCTGTGGGAAATACATGTGGCTTTCTTGGTCCAGAAAAGGACCCATGGCAGTGATTTACTATAATTTGCAATTTTATTTGCAGTATTATAATGAAATGCTTGCAGAGCATCTCAGGTCAAGAGGGATGGATGAACCATCATCCGTGGTTCCTAAAGAGAAGAAATGGAGTTCTTGCCATTTGCTGTTGGCCTTTCATGCAGGTTTCTTTCAAGCAATATTTCAGAGGCTTAGTGCTTTTTTTTTTTTTTTTTTTTTTTTTTTTTTTTTTTTTT